AGAATTTATATTTTTAGACGAAGAGAAAAAGCATCTCCTTTATTTCTTTACCTTCACAATACTGTCGATATCTTCAACATTGAACGCTACATCTCGCACGCCGTCTCCATGTCGGGAAAGATGATCCGACATTTCTTCGTTATCGTACGGATCGTACGGAGATTCGAACATGAAGATTATCTACAAATATTAGGAAGTTCTGTATCTTGAAAGATAATATTCAAGATTTCTCGAAAAGAATACTACTTTTGATTACCAAGTAAGCAATGAAAAAAAATTAAAATAAAGATATTTTTCTAATTTACTGCTTATGGATTCGCGCATGCGAATGTTCAAAATTACTTACTTTGTTCTGTTTGACAACGTGTGTGGCTGTTCGTCTGCAGCCGGTTTCCAAACCACGATATCCAAGCGGTTCGAATCCCATCCTGCATCGGTAGAAACTGGCGGCCTGAAAGCGCAATTGTTTTATTTTCACATATAATCTATATATTTTTTCTTATGTGATTATATGTATGATCATATTTAAATTATGTTAGTTGAAGAAGAACCGGTGGTCCTGAAATATCCGTTTTAATTTATGATTTCTGTTGATATACTAATAATAATTTAACTTGTTTAAAAATTTTTTTGCTCGATCACTGACCTTTGTTTATACTCAATTATTTTTTCTTATATTTTACTTTATACAAGGTATTTCTTGATACATTGGAACACTATATATAAGAATCGATTTAGGATATAAAATTAACAAAATTTATGTGTACATAACTCGATAAAACTGATAAAACTCAAAGAGTGAATAGATAAAAAATAGAATCATATTGCATACCATACATTTATGATTCCTGTTTATTTTTAGACTTATTTCTACGATATTTCCTACGTATTAAGAAACGTTCTGTATGTGAGAATTTACCTGCTTAGCATTTCCAACCCAGAATCTTATATAATCGAAATTGAGAAATTTTCCTCCAACAGGCTGAAATAAATGCAGATATTGCATCAAATTTCTCTAATAGTATAATAGTGATTCTTTTTAAGTAATTACTATATATGAATTCTAAATAGTAGTAGTGATTCCAGACGAAAAAATAACTTGTCCTTCCAAATTTTGGCAAGGCTGTTTACCTGAGGTCCTTTATCGCTGTAGCTCGTCTGGAAGCAACCGTAAAAAATTTAAAAAATAAAGAATTATGGATTCTTAAGTTTTAACAAACAAAAACAATAAAATGATTGGGCTGATGAGAGTCAAAATGCAGTTATCTGTGCGTAACTATAAATTTACGCCATAAACGGTTGATAGGCCGAGTGATTTTTTCTAGTCACTTATAGAAGTCGAATAAAATTACTCGGCCTATCAACCGTTTGTGACAGAATTTCGTTATATACCGTGAAGAAACATTTAATATTGCATATATCAATGCTGAAAATGGCTCAAAGCGGAGCCAAAACGTTCGTTTATATATTTTAATTTGGAATATAAATTTATGGTTACGCACAGATAACTGCGTTTTGATTCTCATTAGCTTAATCATTTTATTATTTTTTCTTTTGCAAAGAATTTATTTAGACAAATCAATGAAAACATAAATATTTGTTAAACGATAACAGATATTCTACGATGCATATCATATAAAAGAACTACAGCAAATTTTATGTTTGCAAATTATTGATCAATTGTATATTAAATAAGCAATCATGCAATCAATAATCAAGTTGAATTATAAAAATAATTCTATTACTAGGTAACAGTTTTTCAACTTACCATGATGACTTTCAAAATCGAAGAAAACGGTAAAAAATATCTTCTAGAACGATATCGAACGTTCGATTATCACGTTCTGCATCGAGCTGCGCTTTAAATATCGAGCCCACCGAGCCCACGAGCTTGCTATTGGTCTACGGTGAAGGCTTGTTTGTGCCACGTTCTTCGTGATCAGCAGCCTGATAAATCACCAGCAACAGCAGGTTTTTTAAAATTAAACGTCATCAAAGCTGAGATAGACTCAACGATGTATTCGAGAGATGGGCTTGCCTTTCTAATTAACAGAAGATAACACGTTTTTCTAATTGATCCTACATCAAAGTATATGTATATAAATAAGGTTTTTAAAAGTTTCCAGAATTGCGTCATAAAAGTATTTGTTTATGGAAATTTCTATTTTACAGAATTGTAGATAAACATTTTTAGATAATTCGATTGTTTCAAAAGTACTTACGTCAGCCTTCTGTTATTTACGATTTTTTCAGCAGAAAAGAAGTGTATAGAAATTTGAGAAATTCGTATAAACGCTGTTCCATGATATTAAAGTCGAATAAATAGGAACAATTAAAAAAAGATTTCTTGCATTTATATAAAAACCGTGATACACATATAAAGTGCATTCCTTGCATGCTATAATAAAAATCTCTTCTTCAATATCTCTCATTCACTTCGATGAAATCATACAACTGCGAATTTCATTTATCACCTTTGGCATATTAAGTTCTTCGCGTAAATATCTCACTTTCCATAGTAAACATATTTACGCTGTCCTGCGTTAGAATGCAGTTTTTCTGTGCACACACCCTCCAATGCATTTATTCATATACCACGTGATTGGATACTTTTTTGTACTGTTTATGTTAAACGATGATGCAGTAGTTACGACAAATAGCTTGTCTACGTGATTACTAATATCTATTAAATTTCATCCATTCATCAAGAGTTATAACATTTAATTGATTATCACTTTAAAAATATATATATATATATTATAATTATTTAAATAAATAAATATACAGAGTAGGCCATTTTAATCAATACATTTTTTTTCGTTAAATACATTTCGAGTTATGAGGTTCGAAAGTTACAGTACTGCCGACATTTGCATTATTCAAGGTGTCCGACGCTAAAACTTCTTGAATGTTGTTCAGGATCACGACCTGGATAACACTTGTCAAGATTAAGGCCATTGAAGGTTGTACCTCTTATTCGTCGGTGAGCGAACGGCGACCACGATTAAATTCGTTATACCAGCGTTTCACAGTGGCAAAGGATGGGGCTTTATCGCCAAAAGTGGAAGCAAATTGATCGATGCACTCCTGTCTTGATAATCCACGTCGAAAGTCGTAATAAATCATTGCACGAAAATTTTCACGAGTTAATTCCATTTTTTCGCTGAGACACAATTTTCAAGTGACTGTAAACAATACAAATCGCGCTCAAATAACAAAACGTTCTGAAGAAGGTTAGGTCAAAAATGTCAAACTTTCTAGTGGAAACGTCAGATGGCACCTGACAACACTCAGTGTTGTCAAGGCTCAAAATATAAGTAGTGCCCCTCGTATTCATTTTTACGTAAAAATGAATTTTTAGTCCAAAAATGAAAATAAGAGGAATAATCTCCAATGGCCTTGATCTTGACAAATGTTATCCAGGACATGATCCTGAACAACATTCAAGAGATTTTAGCCGTCGCTCGGACAACTTGGATAATGCAAATGCCGACGGTACTGTAGCTTTCGAACCTCATAACTCAAAATGTATTTAACGAAAAAATACTTTATTATAGCGTTTTAGAAAGCTTTTGAAATAAGTTACAAGAATACGCAAGAAAAAATGGAGGGTTCCGTTTAAAAAATTTTATTTAACATGGATCTGACCTTAAGGACATCTTCTCAAGGTCAAACAAGGTCACTGTCTTTTTTCCCCCTTGAAACCATAAAACTTTTGTTTGAAACATTTTTTGAAAAAATTTCTCTTTTCGAGATATTCGCATGTATTGATTAAAATGGTATACTCTGTATATATATGTATAAATAACATTACTTATTACAATTTCTCCTTTTCGAGATATTCGCGTGTATTGATTAAAATGGTATATCCTGTATATATGTATAAATAACATTACTTATAGTAACGTTGTTATATAAAATTCCACCGCATTTTATGCACGGAAAATAAATTCAAGGACATAAAGAGAATGATAAATCGCTTTATTAGACTTCATCTCAAACAAGAACTATCAGATATAGAGAAAAAGTCATCAGAGAATGCACGGAATGATATATATAACATGATTTAATTCTGTTCGCTAAAAAATTTCGATGCAGTTTTATTAGCATGACATTTAAATTAATTACAATATAACATTTGGAAACATTGCACATCGTTGTTATGAAAAACTTCTTTTGCGGAAGATTTCTACGCGAGGTGATCGACATTTTTATTTAAATATTATGAAACAAAAACGGATTTAATACCGAGACAATGATGACATTGCAAAAAGTGGTGCATAAAACGTCGCATAAAATATCTTTATATTAAAATTGACAACGTCGAGTAGATATTTCTTTATTTCTTGCATAATTATTTTTGTTTCTATTTTTTCCACAAAAGCAAGGGCGACTAGAAATACTGAACGCAGCTCATTCGCGGAATACTGATTTCCGTTTTTGTTTTTGGAGAATATATACTTGGAGAATATAATTTAACTATCTTCTAAAATCTAATCAAATTGAGTGTCTAATTCGCGCTGATTCGATTAAAATGCAAATAAGTTACTAATGGCTCGTTATGCGTATGTATATGTACAATAAATCAGCTATATACAGGATGTCCGAGAATCAATGAAGATACAGTGTCGTACTCCACAAAATCTGAAATAAACTATTTTTTAAATCAATATTCTACATCTTAGAGTAATTTTTAAATAATAGAAAAAGCAAATATTTATATAGACGATGAATAATAAATATCAAATAAAAATCTTGCTAAAATCGTTTCAAAAATTAAATTACGAACAATATGTTATATTATTTATTTTTACTTTTGAAGTCTAATTCCCGAAAGACTTCTCATCTCTAATGACTTATAAATCAGAATCTATTGAGATATGCCTTACGATATACTAGGGTTAAAATTTTTAAAACTTGTCTTTTAAGTTTTAAAAACATATATAAGATACATTCGGGGAGCGCGCTATTGTGTCATTTTCTTTTTGTTTTATATTTAATAAACAATAAAGATATATAAAATGACATAATAGCGCGCTCTCCGAATGGAATCGTAATGCCATCTACTTTCCGTCGATTCTAAGACATCTTATATACAATAACATATATAATATATATATAATATAAATAACATTTGTTGTGATATCGGTTTGCATGATTGATGAAACGGTGAAGTACAAACTGGTTGGTCGACGATCCGCTACCGTAGAAAATTTCTCGACCGATTTTACACGATAGAAATTACGTAGGTACATTGCAGCGGTATATAAAAGCTCTTCGATCTTCCACCGATTCTTCCGGAATTACGCTCGGAAATTACATTCGAAAATCACAGATTACAAAAATATACGTAGAAAAACATTCCCGTATATCTCCCGTTAAAATTATCTGGTCAAAGTAACGTTCGATTCTTCCTCTCTTGTACTGGATATGATAATTTCTCTTGCCAAATGCAAATAAGCGAAATCGTGAACGTATGCATTATCCTCCTCTTTTTTGGCAAAAAAGAAAAAGAAGTAACGCGCAGTCCTCTGAATTTACAGTAGCACGATCCCGTGATCTCTTTCCAATCGACGTTTCGCCTTGAGAGCCACGATCCCCATTAGATCCGCCGGAGTGGGAAGCGCCGCAAAAGCACTCGGTGCTACTGCTTGCTGATAGAAAACTTCTACTCCTCCGCTCTGGTTACCGTAAACCACTGTGTCTTCCGTTCTGCTCAATAAAAATATTTCGTGATGCCAAAGCTTTTAACTAAGCAAACTCGACTTTTCCGTCATAAATAACACATTCGCTCGTCATTCACGTAATTTTATAAGAATTTCTTAATTTTTTGCAAATTTATACTGCAACTTGTAACTTGGCAAAATAAATCCTATAAAGCGTGAAATAAAACAAGAAATTGTAACTATTTTAATACAATCTTGATCATCTATTAGAAGATATTTGTTTTGCAAGGACGAAGCTAAAATTGGCGAATGAAAAAGAGACGAGAGGAAGTTTCAAGTAATATAAATTAAATATAACATAAAGAGGAACAATATTTTGTTCAGTTTTTAAAGATATAGGGATCTTTGTAATTACCTGACGATAATGTCGGTCAAACTACTAGCTTGCGTAAATCTGTCGTGAAGGCAGGACACGATGTCCAATTCGGTAACTCCCCAGAGTCCAGAACGTTGCACCGTGTCCCACTGTGGGTCCACACTCAGAATACTGTACAATTCTTTGTTCTCCGTAGATGGCAGCGGCTCCAGACACTGTTGCAGCCGTGTTTCGAGCTTGCCCAACGTGCTCACGCAAGTATGCCACTACAAGAAACAAATTGTTTGTTATTATTTCTACAATTCCATCTTTAGAAGGACGTACAAAAAATATTTTGGACAATTTTATTCCATTATCTTTTAATTTTATTAATTTTTCTCTTAAAAATATTTTATTATATTATTCATCAAAAATAATTCTTCGTAATTTTCATCGTAATTTTTGTAACTCTTAAATCTAATGAATTTCATGAAATTTTTGTATCTACCAGAGCATGTATCAAATCCGGATTGTTCGCAGTGCCGTTCTCCATCAGTAGTACTAGCACCATATTCTGATATCCGCAGAGAAAGAGCTCGGTTTTGACGAGACAAGTAGTGGGTTCGTCCTTGTTGACCCAGTCTTCATCTAACTCATCCTCACCGTCACTCGCTTCTTTTTCGACGGATTCCAATTTCTGCCTAATCAGCTGATTCGTCGTCGTCGTGGTAGTGACTGCTACGCCACCGGAAAATCCGGACAGATCGCGGAATTCGCTCGGCGTGGTCTCGCGACTGCAGAAACCGCTAGTTCGCTCGTCGGCCAGTAGACTCAACTTTGACATCAGCGGCGTCAACTGTAAACCATCCAGCTTCCGTCTTTGCGGAAACTCAAACGAGCTTCCTACACCACCGCATTCTGACGTCGATTTCCGTCGATCATCGCCGTTGGACACCTCAGCGACGACGTTGAGTGGCTTCAGCGGTAAACTCATTGATCTCTTGTACGTCTCTTGCTTGCTCTTGTCGTACCCAGGCTTGGCGCATTCTAAAGATTTATGTTTAAAACAAATGTTTGAAGTATATTTCGAATATTCACGACGTTACTATTGCTATTGCTTTTTGAGAGATGCATTCTTTTTATACTAAAAAATATTTTTTGCAGGATTTTTAGTTTATAAGTTTGAATAACATACCTTCACGAGCATCTCTCGTAATTGAATTCCGGCTGCTACTTATCGGCAATTTCGCGCTCGTCAGATCGCTTGGTAAATTCCTTGATTGCAAATTGTCATCGTCGTCATGGCGTTCATGAATGCCATCGCCATTATCACGCAACTCCTCGCAATGAGAGGCGATGTATTGCTCGTACAATGATCGTGAGACTGGTAGACCATCGTATCGGAAGACAGGATAACAGGGATCGACGATAGTGCGCGAGTGCCGCATATTACTCCTAGTGAGCTTCCGCCGGGGTGAATTTGAATCGTAGTCTTCCGGTGAGGCTTCATTTAATTTGCATAATCTATTATAATAATACGATGTAGTAGTAAAATAACATAGAATATTTATTTTATATATTAAATTCAGCCCCATTATTAGGTTTAATTTTTTAAAGTGTGATTATATCAATTTTAATAATCATATTCGATAAGCAGATAATTATAGCATTAAATCTCAATTACATTTTGTCTAACTCCGGTTGATGAGCCCTAGGAACACCGTTCAAACGCGGTTTAATTGATGACGTCAAGTCTGGCAAGCTCACGCTCTTTCTGTCGGGATCCTTTCTCTTCATAAGCTTCTTCTTCGAAGTAGCGTTTTTCAGCTTGTTTAAGCGTTTACACCTGTTATATATATGAAATAAAAATTCGATTACTTTATATATAGCTGGAAAATTGATCATTAAGCTTACTTCCATATTTGCCATGAAAACCATGTCCTCGAAATGCATAATCTTACATTCCACAAAATTTCTAAAAATTGATTTGAGAATAAACACATACCTGAGTGCCTCTTTAACGACATCGGGAATGTCGTCGTCGTCACTTTTCGATGAATTTCTAAGTCCCTCGTTTTCACCACCGCTCTCAGATGAACAGATAAGCATAGCATTCCCGTGTAACACTCGATCCACATCTTTCAATGGTGTCGCACAGACACTGGGCGTGAGCGGATGAACAATACCACCCTTGGGACGTTCTGATTTGATCTCTTGCTTGCGTCTGATCGGTGACTCGTGATTAATCGCGAGCGGCACAGACGACACGTATTGCGGTGCCGAGTAATTCATGGAGTCCAGTTCACCTTCCTCGGGAACCGTAAAAATTTTCGATGTATCTCGCTTCATACCGGACGGTTCCTTAACGCCAGTCTTGGAAACAGTCTGAAAGTTCAAGGAATTGAACACAAGATGACCCACAAGTTGTCCATTATTACAATTTTTATCAAAATGGCAAGATATTAAATTAGATATCTTGCTCGTTTCACATATCTACCTTTCTTTGTAATATCTTTTTGGTCACGGTATCTAGACACGAATTGTAATATCGTTCGTTATTTGCCTCTTGCATCAATTTTGCGAATTGCTTTCGTTCTATGTACACTTGTAACAATTGAACACCGATCGGCAAGTGAAATTCTGTGAGTATCCTTTCTGCAGGAGCCTTCAAATTCAGTAAATTATCAATTTCTTGTGAACAGAAGCGATTGATAGAAGTGAGTATGTATCATTCTATTCGATCAATGTGTGAGAGAATTATATTTACATTTAAATAAAAATACCTTTATTCTGTAAGGATCCGTTATGACTATTTGCTTTGTTAGATCTGCTCCCAGTTGCGTTGAGACTATTCTGAAAAAAGATTAATAAAGATCAGGTGATTTCAGTCAAAATAATAAACAGTAATTAATAATATTAGGACGAGTAATAGTTAATATTTTAAGAAAATATATTAGAATCAGACGACATCAAAGCAATGATTTTACTTATGGATCTATTTCTTACTTGTTATTGTAAAACAACGCTCCACCCAAAATGCCATTTATCTCTTGACAATGCTGTAACACTTGCATTCCTTCCAGGAATATATTGCTGGCACTCTACATTAAAAGAAACACTTATGAAAAATCATATAAGTTTATATAATCGTTTTGATATTCATATTTATGTTCGAAATAAATATATCAATTTTCTTTTCTATTTTGTAGCATTTAGTTTCTGCATTAAATATCTGCACTAACCTTAGGAAGTTTAATAACAGGAATGTTGGAAAACAGATTGGCACTATGTTGAAGAATTGGCAGATAGGTTTCAAACATCTGATACAATTTCTCGGTGAATCTAGTACGATCGTTGTTTAGAGATTCCAGAATCTGGACGAGGTCGCAGTGAAAGAATTTTAACAACGATTCCAGAGTATTGGCGCGTCTTTCGAGTATCCAGTCGTGTATGTTTCTATCAGTCCCCACTGCCTAAAAATTAAACAGCGTAATTTACGATTGTTAATTTCATAAATGGCCATTGAATCATAAAATATCCCAGATATATTAGCTTTTTGTATATAAATTATTAAATATCGGAATAAATAATCATATCTGGAGACACGGCAGTATCTCGGCGCTAAGGAAATTACCAATTAACGTATATATCAATTAAATAATACAAAACGTAGTAATATATATAAAGAATGAATTTATCATACAAAATGCGCACTCTAAATTCCTTGGAGGAATCTTTAGAAAAGACAAGGCAGCTTTAAAATTTAATATTGACATTCTTGTTTTTGACATTAAAACTATTTAGTGATTATCAATACCTTCGAGAGAGAATACATGATTATATTATAAGTGAATTACAAACATTACAGATTATCTGTTTACATATAAATCTTGCTCTCAAGTTGCATCTTATTTAAAATTGTTGCACATAAATGTAAAGCAGCAATCGAATGCTCGCCAGTGAAGAGTACTTACTAGCACATATTGCCCAAACTTCTTCAGCACAAACTTTCCACCTTGCAATGTGATAGAGCGTGGCGCTGAAAATGACGTTGTCAAAAAGTGATGCACACCCATTAGCTGCCCCGCCAGAGCCAGTCTCTGCGTAAGAGATACCCAAGCTGGATGGAAGTACATAACTGCCTCAGCAGGATCATCCTCCTCTTTACAACACTTTGCAGTGTCGTAAACGAATACTATCATCATCTCTCTGAAAACAAAGGATTCATTCTGAATTCTAGAATAAATAGCTTATTTTAGTTTTAATCAAGTATAAAATTTGGATACAAAATAATAAACTAGCAGATGTAAATTTTACAAATAAGTGAGGAATTTATATCAAAACAGTAGACTTGTAGACATGATAAATCATATTATATAACTTTCATGGAGATTAATTTACTTTTTGCTTCTGACTGCAAGATTCATATAGCTTACCCAGATCTGATCCATTTAAATATATTGGTAACGAATGCGAAAATATCTTAAAGTATTTCATTGTAAAAAATTGCCCTGAGCAATGCAGAGAACGTGTTCGGAGTGTGCGGAATGTTTCAGTTTGGACGCATGACTGAATCACTCCCGAGCGAATATCACCTCAGTCCCAGAAACCGATATCGGTATCGAGGCTAGATAAAATCAAATTACAAATAGTGTGAAACGATTCTAATAGCTCATTAGTCTCCGCAGAACGGAGCGATCCGAGCAGCGTGCTATATGGGAGGATCGCATCCCAATTTTGCTTCTTTTTAAGTATTTGAATACTTAAAAGAAAATTCGCGTCCTCTTTCACGAGGCTCAGAGAACCCGCGGATCGTAATCATTGCGTAGTTGAGACTTCCGTGCGATCGCAAGAATAGGGAAACAGTAAATAATGCGTGCCAGTACGCAGTCTAATTAGATGAGGCGACGTAATTAAGCGTGGGCATACTTCGCCATGGTGATGGTTAATCGTCGTCTTGGCGCGTGGCGATCTGTCAACCGGTCTCACGCCGTTGAGCCTTGAGGCTCTGCTGTCCGTCTCCTCGACGTACCGCTCGTTCCGTCAACAAGGAACGCGTCCGCCGTACCGCTAGTGCGATCCCAAGGTTCCCAGGTACTCGGTTGTAGTCCGGTAGAAATGATTCGTAGAGATGTAGCCTGGTCGTTTCGTCGGCCGGCGAGAAACGTCGCGTGCCATTTTTTTTCTTTCTCTCCGTCAATCGTCGATCGTGGATGATTGCACTGTGTGAAGCCGCTCCTCCTGCGTCGCCATACCCCCGATATCGATCTTCTCAGATTATCTGTGATGCACTGTGATGCACTGTGTGCGTGCACAAATATATAGCGGCAGCTCCGTCTTCGCTGATCATCGCTGATGTTCGTGCAGTTTTCTCTCATCCACATTTTTTTCTCATATATTCATGTATGTACGTAACATGCAATATACATAAATGTTTTATGACGTTTCATGTATAACGAATTTATGGAAAAAAGAAAAGCAATTATAATATAATTTTATCATATACATTTTATTTTTACACACATACGTGCGTATTAAAATATAAATATAATAAAATTATATTATCTATACTCTCTCTCGATAATACTTTATATACAATCTTTCCAAAATGGAAATTCTGTATTTACCAAATTTAATGAATATAATAAAATTATATAATTGTGTTAAAATAAGATATTTTATATATTGTTTACTAATATATTTACCTGTGATAACTAACACTATCGTCACAAAAAATACAGAAATATCTTCTGTAGGATGTGATTTTATGGTGTATCAATTGGTTTGATATATTATGTGATACATCAAATATATCATTTGATTCACTTGATATATATTGATTCAGTTTATTTGTAATAGATCATTTTTTCATCACTTAACAAGTTCGCTTTAATCTTCGGCTAACTAACAGAAACACGGACTTTATATGCATTTTCAATTTTTAATTACGCTTTGGAGGAACTCTTTTGCTGCTACCTCTAATGTCTAATGTAATGTGAAAAATTCCACAAATATTTGTACAAAAATATTTTGTGGAAAATATTCTGAAGAATACTAAGCGCCTTTTAGCAAATTTTACTATCATAACTTCAAAAATAATTTATTTCAGTCGACTTTGATTAATCAGAGTTTAAATTGAAATTATCATGTAATATCTGTATTATTTAATACGAATAGAATTATTAACTCTTTTTATCGCTTATAAAAGCAAAGATTAGAGCAGGGATGACGAATTACATAGCTAGAAATTTTTCTTTAAGTGATTCTACCGGTTGGATATACATTTGAATAAAAAGATTTCGAAATTTCGAAATATATAATTAAATCAGCTAATTTTCATAATAAAAGTACGAGCAGAAGCTATAAGTTAAAAAATGTATGCATAGATACTTAAAACTATTTCACATTTTTGTTATAATTATATATCTGTCTCGTACGAAAAAATATTGGTGTATCGCTTTCTGTTCTATATATGTATATTCTAACACGTAACGCATAATCAAAACATGCCTTCATCAACTATAAGTTTTTATTAGTATTACAGCTAAAATATAAACGATAGTCTTTTTTTCATTATTGTTTCATTTAAACGAACTCCTCTGTACTTTTCACTGGTTTTTTATTTTCTCCTGTTTGGAAATCAAAGAATTCTACAATTGCCTTTCTCTTCGAGATAAACTCTGTCCTTTTTTCACATCTGTGTGTAGTTGTGTGGTGTTGCATATATATACATAAGCAGACTCCGCTGCCTGTCCCTTACAATCTAAACGCCTAAATGTGAATCGTCGATTATAAACAATTTCATAGAAAATTTATTTATGTGATTAAAACAACGCATAAGTAAATAGAATCGTAATCGCTAGCTTGTGTGTGAGCACGAGACGATAAACGAATTTGTACAATTTATTATGCGTGTAATCCTAAAAAATAGTCTTACGGCTATATGATGACACAACACTGCATTCCTTTTTTTTTCCAATTCTCTTTCTTACATCGAATACATTATAAAGAAATAGTTAAATGTGGAGTAGCGTTTCTCTCGAGCATCTCAAATACATTTGTCAGATAGCCGATCGTTGCTCCGTTTTTTTCCGTACAACTCGGTCCATCGGACGTGAAATCACGGTCACATATTGTATGTACATACATAAATAATAGCATAACATGATGAATGACGCATGAATTCTGAACCACAACTTACAACTACTACATGAACTCGAAGTGAACGTAACGTTTATGCATGAAATCTTCACTTGTTCTATATACAGATATATGTATGTATGTATGTATGTATGTATGTGTATATATATATATATATATCCTGTATATAGGAAAAAATACAAAGTATACAAAAAATAAAGTTGCACGTATTTTTGAGACATACGTCATAATATGTGGAGACTAAATCTTCACAGTTCTATTCGCCTGCTCGAATTCATACATTTTGTTTGCTTACGTCAGTGTTACATAATTTGTCTCCACATTTTTTCTGAGGCTGCTGCAAGACTCATTCGTTGCATAGAAAATGATACTCGCTCCGCGAGAGATTAATTATTATATTATAATGGGATAAATAATTAAATAAAGCCAATTGACTTAAAGTGAAAACTCATGGATTACAATTTTACCTTATTTATTGCTCCTAAGCTGAGATAACTTCGAGACTCAAGGAGAGTCGTCATTTACATATAACTTTATGCTCACGGGCATTATATTTTACAAATTTGTTCCACTTATTTCTTTTTAATTAATGATTAAATCTTCCATTTTTTGCATAAAAAAATACAATATTATAACGCGAGAAAGAGGAAATTCTGTATTTCATACGGTTCGAATGCGGCTTCATAATAACACGTTCACTGTTCACGAGACATGGAACTTACAAATATTTTCGTGTACATGCTCGTGAAATGTAATACAAAACTCTTCACTGAAGCATTTTGGACTTATCTGTTTGTGTGAGGCAAAGCACTTTCTTAGAAGAAAGTTTTTGTATTTGAAGTGTTGCAGGAAGTGTAAAAAGAGTTTGAAGAATGACTAAGAGTGATCGACATCACAACTGTAAAAAGAGATAAATTAGACGGTCACAGTGAGCGTATTAAAAAAAAAAGCGGCCCTATGGTCTGCCTTTATTTTTCAACATGTCAAAAAAAAAAAAAAGAATAAAAAGAACTTCCGATAATGAACAGAAGAATTATATTACATAATTATATATTATATTTTAATAACATAATTGTTAAAAAAAGGTGATGTGCTATGGCTTAGTTTCTCTTTTTTACGCAATAATAGACGGTAAAATCTACGTATATTCTCGTAGATAAAATCAATTGCGAGTGGTAAGTTCTGGTCTAAAATTCACACTTCATACAGTACAGTTGGAACTGAGAACTCGTAAACTGCAGTGAGGAAATGGGAGGGAAAAGGAAAATGTTCACACAACTATAATAAATAGCGGAGACACTGGTGCCTTCTCTACTTTTACATACTTAAGTCTATTCCGAGAGAGAGTTTCAGTTTTTCTACGTGTACTGTACTGGCACAACTGTTTCCATTCTCTGTATTCTGTAAAACGCACTGCACTATTCACTTAGATTCAGATCGATTCCACATACAGCGCTCCATCGACCTTTTTGATTAAATTACTTCCCTTCCGAGAATTTCTCCCTCAGACTTTTAATCTTGTGGACGAAGTACGTCTCGAGGGATTCGGCGCATTTGAAAAATGGTGATTCCTTCGGGTTATAATATCGACAATTATCGAATATCTTTGTCATGTCACCGATGAACTCGCTGAGTTTCTTATAGGACCGATCATTTATCCTCAATTCAATAGTTTGCAAGTCTAAAATAAAAATACATTAGATATATATATATATATGTGTGTGTAAACAATATATATAAACGTCATTTAAAAGAAAATATATTATGCTTTCATATCAAAATGATTTAGCTAAGGAGATAAATAGATTACTGAAGTGATATATAAGTTATGATACTCACCCATTGGTTCTTTTATTACTTTGTAATAATCTGGTGCTTCGTTAGGGTCTACTGGTTCCATAAACGGCCATGCACTTTTATGAGCCTAAAACAAATAAATTGCACATTCTGAATCGTGTATCTGAATGTTAATCCTCTTTTGCATTAAGATTTTTAATTTGGGCCGGGCAAAATGTTTTATTATTTCAATATATCCAACAGAATATATATTTAGGTTTTTCATCTCTTATTTATTTTATTTTAATGAATAAAAAAAGTAATCATAAGTAATAAAGAAACTTATACCTGTATTTGTTTAATTAATTTCTTCAACAGATCAAGATCTTTTGCGTTAAGGTTCTTCATATTAGCGAAGTTGACCGAAGAATTACGCTGGCAATTTGGACAAACGTATTCGTCAATGTTGTCGGCCTCTGATTGAAGAATACCGACACATCGACCGTGGAACCAATCTTGGCATTTGTCACAACATATGTAAAATCTTAAAAAAAGATAGACGTTATTTTAAATGTACTAACTATACACGGTGTAACAGCCATACCAGGCTAATTTCTTGAAAAATATACATTTTCTTGAAAAAGTTTGTTTTAGACTAAAAATATTAAGGCATGCATAAATATATATGTATATATATATACACACACATATATAAAGAATTAATTGCTCTAATTATATAGAATAAAAAGAAATGTTAATTTTTTCTAAGTATATTATTTTAATTATTAAGTAAATTATATTATCATTGTTATCTGTTGGGATCAAATATGGTTCCACAAAGGTCGAGCATCATAGTTAATTTTCTCTTTCTTTTTACTAGATATTTCTATTATTAACGTAAATTTTTAGCAATGTAATGCACTTACTGAGATTCGTCGTAAGGCTGTTTACACAGGCAATACAATTCTTGTGTATCTCTCGCATGTCTGCATTCTGTACAAACAAATTCTGACAGAGATTTGCTCATTTCTTCCGTTATACCCACGCAGTCACCATGGAACCAATTATTGCATAAGTCACATCCCACATAAAATCTTTAAAGAAAGAGAATTATTTGTATAATTTTCAATATATTTATCAATATATTTATGATTGATATTAAAATCTTAAATCTCTTTTTAAATTTGAATATAACGGAATTAATTAAAAAGATATTTTATTGATACTATAATTCTCTACTTTACAAGTGTTGACCATGAGATTCAGATCAGGAATATCGCATAAATGAAATTAACATTTTGCAACATTATACTTTGTGATTAAA